AATAAGGCAAGGAGTGGATTTCTCAGCAGAAACCTTACCGGCCAGGGGAGAGTAGGATAATAAATACAATGTGCTGAAGGAAAAAAACCTATGCCAACCAAGAATACTGTACTTGGCCAAACTGTCCTTAAGAAATGAAGGAAAGATAAAGACTTATCCAGACAAACAAAAGTTGGGAGTTCATTACCATCAGACTTATCTTACAAGAAATGCTAGTGGGAGCTCTTCAAGATGAGAGAAAAGGATGCTAATGAGTGACACAAACTCATCAAAAAGTATAAAGTTTACTGGTGAAAGTAAGCACACAAACTCAGAATACCCTAATACTGTAATGGTGAGTATAAATCACATATCTTTATTATGAATGTTAAAAGGCAAAACTATTACAAATAATAGCTTATTAAGGGATGTACAATATAAAAAGATGTACATCATGCTATCAAAACAAATACGAGAACAGGGTGGAGTAAAATTATAGAGTTATTTTATGGGATTGAAGTTAAGTTGTTAACTTTAAAATGGCCTGTTATAAGATATTTTGTGTAAGCCTCATGCTAACCACAAAGCAAAAACCTATAGTAGAAAAACAAAAGATAAAGAGTGAATCAAAACACACCAGTAGAGAGAATCATCTAATCACAAAGAAGGCAAAGAAGGAAAAAAGAAACAATGGATCTACAAAACAACCAGAAAACAATTAACAAAATGGCAGCACTAAGTCCTTACCTCTCAATAATTACTTTGAACATAATGTATTAAATTCTTCAATCAAAAGACAAAAACTAGCTGAATGGATAAAAAACCAAAAACAATAAAAAGAGACCTATGTATATGCTGTCTACAAGAGACTCACTTCAGTCTAAAAGACACACATAGGTTAAAAGTGAAAGGATGGAAAAAATCTGTGCAAATGGAAACCAAAAGAGAGTGGGGATAGATATAATTATAGGTAAAATAAGATAAAAAGGTAAAATAGACTTTGGTAAAATAGACTTTGCCTCAAAAAACTGTAAAATGAGACAAAGTCATTATATAATGACAAAGGGATTGATTCATCAAGATAATAATTTCAAATATGTGTGCACCCAACATTATAGAATCAACATATATAAATCTGAAGAGATCTAAAGAGAAACATAGACATCAATAAAATGATAGTCGGGGACTTTAATACTTCCTTTCAACAATGGACAAATCATCCAGACAAATTCAATAAGGAAACATTGGAATTGAACTATATTTTAGACCAAATAGACCTAACAAACATATGCAGAACATTTTGTTCAACTGCAGCAGAATACACATTCTTCTTAAGTGCATATGGAATGTTCTCCAGGATAGACCATATCTTAGTCCACAAAACACGTCTTATCAAATTTAAGAAGACTGAAATTAAATAATTAATTACAATGATATGAAACTAGAAACGAATAGGTGGAATTTTAGAAAATTCACAAATATGTTGAAATTAAATATGTTTCTAAACAACCAATGGGTCAAGTAAGAAATTAAAAGAAAAATTTTGAAAATCCTGAAACAAAAATGGAAATACACTATACCAAAACTTAAGAGATATAGCAAAAGCAGCTTGAGGAGGGACATTTATAGCAGTTAATACCTACATCAAAAAAGAAGAAAGATCCTAAATAAACAACTAATATTATATCTCAAGGAACTAGAAAAAGAACAAACTAAGCCCAAAATTAGTAGAAGGAAGGAAATAATAAAGATTAGAGCAGAAATAAATAGAGACTAGAAAAACAATAGAAAATACAAAAAAAAAGCTAAGATTTGGTTTTTTTGAAAAGATAAACAAAATTGGTAAACCTTTAGCTAGACTAAGAAAAAAAGAGAACGTACTTAAATAAATAAAATCAACAATGAAAAAGGAGACATTATAACTGATACCATAGAAATACAAAGGATCATAGACTACCATGAACAATTAATTATATGGCAACAAACTGGACAAGCTAGTAGAAATAAAGTCCTAGACACATACAACCTACCAAGACTAAATCATGAGGAAATTAAAAATCTGAACAGACCAATAATGAATAAGGAAATTGAATCAGTAATAAAAAGTCTCCCATCAAAAAAACAAAAACAAAATCAAAACAAACCAACCCCAGGACCTGATGCAGTCACTGCTGAATTCTATCATTTAAAGAACTAATACCAGTCCGTCTCAAATTCTTCCCAAAAATTGAGGAGGGAAAACTTCCAAACTCATCTTTTGAGGCCCTGATAGCAAAGCCAGACAAGAATACCACAAGAAAATTACATGCCAATATCCCTGGTGAACATAGATGCAAAAATCATCAACAAAATGCTAGCAAACTGAATTCAGCAGCACATTAATAGAATCACTGTGAACAAGTGGGGATTTATCCCTGGGACGGAGGATAGTTCACCATATGCAAATCAATGAATGTGATATACCACATTAACAGAATGAAAGACAAAAACGATATGATTATTCCAATAGATACAAAAAAAGACATTCAACAAAATTCAACCTCCTTTCATGACTTTTACCCCCAACAAATTAGATACAGAAGGAATGTACATGATAAAGGCCATATATGACAAGCCATAGCTAACATTATACTCAGTTGTGAAAAGTTGAGTTTTTCTCTGAGATCAGGAACAAGACAAGTATGGCCGCTTTCACCACTTTTGTTTGGCATAGTATTATATTAGAAGTCCTAGCCAGAGCAGTTAAGCAAGAGAAAGAAATAAATGACATTCCAATTAGCAATGAAGAAGTTAAATTGTCTCTGTTTGCAGACAACATAGTCTTATATTTAGAAAACTCTAAAGACTCCACCAAAAAAACTCTTAGAAGTAACAATTTCAGTAAAGTTGCAGGATACAAAATCAACATACAAAAGTCAGTAGCATTTCTACACACAATGAACTCTCTGAAAAAGAAATCAAGAAAACATGCTATTTTTAATAGCTGCCAAAAAATTAAAACACTTAGAATAAATTTACTTTGTAGTATTTTGTTATCTTAACTGATCAGGCCTAAGCCTGCAGTCAGTTTAGTAGACGAGATTAGCAGGTTGTCATATAATCAAACTGACCCTCATGCTGATAACAGTTATAAAATGGGATGTGGAGGGGAGAACTTGAAAGCAGTTGAAAACAACCAAAAGCAGACAGAAACTGGATGGGAAAGAAAAATTACAAGTTGGCCAGGCCCTGTAATCCTAGCACTCTGAGAGGCCTAGGCAGAAGGGTTGGGTTGAGCTCAGAAGTTTCAGACTAGCCTGAGCCAATGAGACCTCCATCTCTAGTAAAAATACAAAAATTAGCCTGGCATTGTGGTGTGCACCTGTAGTCCCAGCTACTCGGGAGGCTGAGGCAGGAGGATTGCTTGAGCCCAGGAGTTTGGAGTTTGAGGTTGCAGTGAGCTATGATGATGCCACTGCACTCTAGCCCAGGCAAAAGCAAGATTCTGTGACGAAAAGGAGAGGAAAACATTGCAAGTTTCCCTTAAGACTCTCTATGTGTCAGAACAGTATAATGCTTATATCAATTCCAAGTTCCCTATGTACCCAAGATTAAACTCTATTTCTATACCAAATTATATCCAGCCAAGTTATCCAGGATAACATAAAAGGCTCAGCAATTAAATGGTGACTAATCTATCCTGCCCAAGAATCTAGGAGGATATCCAAAGAACAATATCCAGAGGATATCTGGAAAAGTGGCCATTTGGGGGATGTTACAGTTTCTCTTTATTCTATTTTATGCTTTTTATTAAAATCTACTTTGTCTAATATTAATATCATATCCTGATTTCATTTTGTTTTGTAGTTACTTGGTATCTCTTCTACTATACCTTTTATTATTTCTATGTCATTTTGTTAGGTGGTTCTCAAATAGCATATAGTTGGATTTTGGGGTTTAATGATTTGAGATTCTTTGTATTTAAGAAGTTTGCATTTATCATACTAAATGATATTATTGTTCTTATTCTGACATTTTGGTTTATACTGTGTTGTGTTGCCTGCCTTACTCCTGTTTTTCCCACTCTGTCTTTTGCATTTGCCAAAGTTTCTCTGGCTCTTTTGTTTTGCCACTAGTAATTTGGAAATTAGATATGCTATTTTTATTTAATTAGTAATTACTTCAAAATAAAAATAAAGTGAACCAACATGAAGAATACAATAGTATCTATTTGATGTGCCTGGAAGTGATGAATGAGTCACATATTTTAGTACCTCTCTTTTGTTCCTTCTCCCACATTTCATTGGAATAATTTGGGCTTTAGAGTCACACTCTTATTATTATTTCTTCTTTTTACATCTCCTTAAGAAATACTTTTCACATTTCCATTTCCTTATATAGTCATGTTAACCATGTTAAAAATAGTTAGACATAAATTTTTATGTTTAGGGTTTACAATGTCCATCTCTATTTCTTTTATAACATCTTTCTCCCATACCTTATAAATAAAGGTCTTTATTTTTGTTGATTTATTGGATATTAAAGTATTTCTTTGAGTGATGTTTAAAGGATATGTATCTGTATCTGAATCTTTGCATATCTGAGAATATTTATTAAATGTGTGTTTGTCTTACATAACAATTATAACTATAGGAAATTTTCATAAGGAAATGATAGTAGTATATAAAGATATGTGTATAAGTCTGTTCATTTTACAGTATTATTACAAAAGCAAACATTAGAAACTAATAAACATCCATAAATAGAGATAGGTCAAATAGAATTGTTTTTAGACATAATTGCAAAATCATAAATTTTATTACCTTTGTAACCTTAAATTAGTATAAGTATCATTAATCTTTTGCCTGTTTCTTGTATAAGTTATAATATAAATTTAGTTCACACAAAGTAAACATTACCATGTTTGTGAACATTAACATCCTATTTAGTATTTTTTCAGTTTGTCAATTAGATTAAATAGCTAAATAGATATTATTGAGAAGATTTTTTAAAGAAGTTTAATTTTAGTCTATTCATTGTAGTCACTCCATGGATTCCTTTGGGCAACCCAGACAAGAAGATAACCAGTCAGTAGTCAGCAGAATGCAGAAGAAATACTGGAAAACTAAACAGGTCTTTATCAAAGCAACAGGAAAAAAAGAGGATGAGCACGTGGTGGCATCTGATGCTGAACTGGATGCTAAACTTGAGGTAAATTTGAGTATTCTGTATATGGCATATAACTGGCTGTATTTGGGACCCCAAGGGGAATTACGACAAGCTTTCACACTGAAGAGCTTATGGAGATAAATGTAAGTTTGATAATAGAATGTTTAGTTGTATCCAGCTGCCAATCAGAGCTCTGAATAGTAGATCACAATTCCCACAAACTAAGAATGTGCAAAATTGGTATTTACTAAATTAGATAAATTACGAATTAGGTAATTTCTCTGGCACATGTGTTACAGTTTTTAAGCTAAACATTAATGAATTAAATTCCCAATTGGAACCATATACTCATTATATATCATGTCATACTATTTTGTAGTACTTTGATGTAAAGTCTTATACCTCACTGAAATAAATTAATTAAAATCAAAAAGTGAATGAAGAAAAGTTAAGAGTTTTTGTTTTCTTTTTATTAAGGAATACACTTATTGAAGTGTTTCATAATGCCTTTTTTGAGTGTTTTTCATTTTAAATAAAAGAAGTAATTGCCATGAAACAACCTTAAACCTATAAATGTTTTATACTTTCAAGTAATTGGGATAATTAGAGGAGAATATCATGTAAATGAATGAAAAAGTCTGAATTTTTAAATGCAGATGAACTAATTCCATATACATACACTAATTTAAGATAAACCTTATAAATATTCCCAAGCAAGGTTCTGTTACACTTGGAATATAATCATTATATTGGCATTCTTAAAAATAAAGGTCTAGGCCGGGCGCGGTGGCTCACGCCTGTAATCCTAGCACTCTGGGAGGCCGAGGCGGGCGGATTGCTCAAGGTCAGGAGTTCAAAACCAACCTGAGCGAGACCCCGTCTCTACCATAAAAAAAATAGAAAGAAATTAATTGGCCAACTAATATATATATATATATAAAAATCAGCCGGGCATGGTGGCTTGTGCCTGTAGTCCCAGCTACTCGGGAGGCTGAGGCAGGAGGATCACTTGAGCCCAGGAGTTTGAGGTTGCTGTGAGCTAGGCTGACGCCACGGCACTCACTCTAGCCTAGGCAAGAAAGCGAGACTCTGTCTCAAAAAAAAAAAAAAAAAAAAAAAAAAATAAAGGTCTAATTGTATAGGTCTTGATCTAAGTATTTTATTCTGCAAAAAATAAACTTATATTTTGGTCATAATATGGAAATAGATAACAAATTAACAAGCTTTTACTATTTATGTTGATAAGTATTCCTCTTAGGATTCAATAACAACTGTGAAAAAATGAAGGGACTTTATTATTATAGGTGATGTATATTTTAACGTTAAGAGAACGTGTCACTATTTCTAGATATATTCCCAAGAAGTGGGAATATGTGGGAATATGTGATGTTTTTGTATTGTTTTACATTATTAGGTTATTTGTTGGTGATATATTTTATATTCAGAGTAAATTTGTCCGTTAGACAAATATTTGGAATCAACCAAGAACTTTCTCCCACACTTGTACTATTTTTTTAAGAATGAAAAATATTTTCATGGTAAAAATAAAAATCAATAGTATATAAATCTTACAAAGACTCATGGGGAAAAAACCAACCATAATCACTTCATCGTAGTAGAACTATCTTTTTTGTATTCTTTTCTAAAATCTTCTTTCATATGCATTTAAAACATGCTTTTTAAGTTGCCAAATCTGGATATCAATTTCAATTCAAACATTTCTAAATTTATATGGAAAATTGATGGTTAGTCCTCCTTTTTTTTTTTTTTTTGAGACGGAGTCTTGCTTTTTTGCCCAGGCTAGAGTGAGTGCCGTGGCGTCAGCCTAGCTCACAGCAACCTCAGACTCTTGGGCTCAAGCGATCCTCCTGCCTCAGCCTCCCGAGTAGCTGGGACTACAGGCATGCGCCACCATGCCCAGCTAATTTTTTCTATATATATTGGTTGGCCAATTAATTTATTTCTATTTATAGTAGAGATGAGGTCTCGCTCTCGCTCAGGCTGGTTCTGAACGCCTGACCTCGAGCAATCCGCCCACCTCGGCCTCCCAGAGTGCTAGGTTTACAGGCGTGAGCCACCTTGCCCAGCCTGTTAGTCCTCCTTTAACATTTTAGTGTTTATTATCAATCTTCCTTAGGTTTGACCAAATATCAAAATAACAGTTAAGCTGCTCCACAGATAGAATATTCAGACTTTTTGATGATATTGGGAATTTATTTGATAATCAAAGGGTTAGGGCTTAATACAATATTACAACACAGTGCCAAAGTCTTTTTAAACTAGTCTCATAAAAATTCTTCATTGTAGGACTTTTTGAGAAGGAGACTATACTCTAAAACCTATGCTGGCTTGTTTTTCTGGGAAAACCTACATTTATAGATATTTATAAAGAATTATGTCATGTATATACTGTGTCCTCAACTCAAATGATCATGTGCTTAACTCTGAAATGAAAGTCTACTGGATATTTTACTTCTTTTCTGTTAGCAATTAGCAATAATAGTAATAAGGGATTAATATCTCTAGAAAATTCTAAACAAAAATAATTCAAAAGTAATTTATATTTGTTGTTGTAATGCATTATTTAATTTTTATAGTAAATTCACTGACCTGTTTTTCTCAGACCAATACTGGAGAAAAGCCAGACTCCAAGTTAACACTTCCTGAGGTTATTTACACTCTTTTCCCATCCAGTACTAACCAAGCCTGACCCTGCTTAGCTTCCAACATCAGATGACATTGGCGCGTTCAGGGTGGTATGGCCATAGACATCTATACTCTTTTCATCTGTGGTTGGTAATATTTGATGCAGTTTATATTGGATTTAACTTTTTGCTATTTAGATGGTTTGTTGCTGAGAGGAGGACAAACTCTACGGTTATTTTATTTGCTCCCATCTATTTATCACCATTTTTTTCAGCCTTCATGGGGAAAATCTAAATGTACTTTCTCCATCAGAAGTAAAACTAAAACTGAAGTATGTCATAGCCAAGGAAAATAGACATAATATTTATAAAAGAGACATAATACTTACAAAAAAATGTTACGCATTCGAAGTGCTTATAACAGATATTTTATATTTATGGTTCTTTAAATTGTCCTAATAAAATTTATATTTCAAGGTTTTCCACTCCATTCAAGAGACATGCACTGAACTTCTGAAGATAGTGGAAAAATATCAGCTGAGACTCAATGGTATGAAATCATAGATATCTGATAATTCTCATTTAAAATAAATATTAGCTTACATTTTTGAAAATGAAAGATTTAATGTAAAAGTAGCGGAACTATTTTGTGGATAGTTTCATATGGCAAAATATGAATATTTATGGCGACCTGTTCTCAAAGCCCCCAGTATCTATCTTTTTTCTTCAGTTCATCAAATCCTCTGACACAGATTCATTTTTCTGATTCTCAGTTTTCCCTTCCAGAGTCTTAAATCTATTTGCTTCCATCACATACAAACTCTCATGACCCTGACTTGCCCTTGCAGTTAACGTCCCATTCCTGTGCTCCTTTTTATAGAAAAAATTGATGTAATTATCTGCTTGCATGGTCTCCATTCCTTTCCTTCCACTTTCTCTTGTACTCATTCCAGTCAAGTTTTCATCCCCACTACTCCACCATACTTCTCTTGTCAAGTTCATGAAGAGCTAAATCCAATGGCCAGTTATGTGGCTTATCACATCATTAAACACAGTTGATTATCCTTCTTCCTTGATAGATTTCCTTCACTTGGCTTCCCTGGTTTCCCTCCTTCT